AACACCCACAGTATGAACAACAACGGTAGTACAAGCCAACGCCCACGGTATGAACAACAACAGCAGGTAACCAACACCACAATTATGAAGACAACAACAGCAATTTAACCAACACCCACGGTAGCGAACAACAACAGCAGGTACGAAGCCCAGCACCCACGGTATGGACGCCAACGGCAGTGCAACCAACACCCACAGTATAATAACACCAGCGAATTGCAACCAACACCCGGTATGGAACAACAACAGCAATGCAGCCAACACCCACAGTATGAACAACAACAGTGGTACAATGCCAACACCCACGGTATGGACAACAACAGTAATTACAACCAACACCACAGTGGACAACAACAGCAGTACAACCAACACCCACAGTATGAACAACAACAGTGGTACAACCAACACCCACAGTGAACAACAACAGTAATGCACCAACCAACACACCCACAGTATGGACAACAACAGCAATACCAGCCAACACCCACAGTATGGGACAACAACAACAGTACAACCAACACACCACAGTATGGACAACAACAGTGAGTACAACCAACACCCACAGTGTGGACAACAACAACAGTACAACCAACACCAACAGTATGGACAACAACAGTGGTACAACCAACACCCACAGTATGAACAACAACAGTAAGTACAGCCAACACCCTGCAAGTATGAACAACAACAGTGGTACAACCAACACCCTCAGTATGGACCCAACAACAGCGGTACAACCAACACCCACGAGTAACTGGACAACAACAGCAGTACAACCAACACCCACAGTATGGACAGCAACAGTGCAACCAACACCCACAGAATGAACAACAACAGCAGTACAGCCAACACCAACGAGTATGGACAACAACAGTAGTACATCAACACCCTGATATGGACAACAACAGTAGTACAACCAACACCCACAGTATGGACAACAACAACCCGGTACAACCAACACCCACAGTATGGACAACAACAACGGTACAACCAACACCCACAGTATGGACAACAACAGCGGTACTAGCCAACGCCACAGTATGGACAACAACAGCAGTACAACCAACACCCACGAACAGACAACAACAGCGGTACAACCAGCGCACAGTATGAACAACAGTGGTAGCTAACACCCACAGTATGGACAACAACAGTGGTACAGCCAACACCAACAGTATGGACAACAACAACAGTGCAACCAACACCCCGCCCGATATGGACAACAACAGCAGTACAACCAGCACCCACACAGTATGGACAACAACAGCAGTACAACCAACACCCACGGTAGCGAACAGCAACAGCGAGTAATAACCAACACCCACAGTATGGACAGCTGGCAGCCAGTACAACCAACACCCACAGTATGAACAACAACACTAGTACAGCCAACACCTTTACAGTAGCCGGACAACAACAGCAGTACAACCAACACCCACGGTATGAACCCAGCAACAGCAGTACCAACCAGCACCCACAATTATGGACAACAACAGCAGTACGAAAGCCAGCACACACACAGTATGAACAACAACAGTAGTACAACCAACACCCACAGTGCTCCAGACCAACAACCAGCGGTAAAACCAACACCCGCAGTATGAACAACAACAGCGGTACGACCAACACCCGCAGTATGGACAACAACAGCAGTACAACTAACACCCACAATTATGGACAACAACAGTGGTACAACCAACACCCACAGTATGGACAACATTGTTACAACCAACACCTGGTATGGACAACAACAGCAGTACAACCAGCGCACACGGTATGAACAACAACAGTGAACAGCCAGCACCAGCAGTATGGACAACAACAACGTGCAAGCCAACACCACAGTATGGCGGACAACAACAGCGAAATTACAGCATAACACACAGTATGGACAGCAACAGCAGTACCCAATACCCAACACCCACACGGTATGGACAACAACGGCAGGTACAACCAACACCCACAGTATGGACAACAACAACCAGTACAACCAACACCACAGTATGGACAACAACAGCAGTACAGCCAACACCCACGGTATGAACAACAACAGCAGTGCAACCAACACCCACGGTATGGACAACAACAGTGGTACAGCCAACACCCACGGTATCAGACAACAACAGTAGTACAGCCAGCACCAGCAATTATGGACAACAACAACCATTACAACCAACACCCACAGTATGGACAACAAAACAGCAGTACAACCAGCGCACAGTATGGACAGCAACAGCAGTACAACCAACACCCACAGTATGAACAACAACCAGCGGTACAACCAACACCCACAGTGGACAACAACAGCAGTACCAACCAACACCCACACAAAGAGCCAGACAACAACAGCGAATTACACCAGCCAACGCACCCACAGTATGGACAACAACAGCAGTACAACCAACACCCACAGTGGGCGTAACATGATGCAACCAACACACCCACGGTATGGACAGCAACGACGTGGCCAGCCACACACAGTATGAACAACAACAGTGGTACAACCAACACCGCAGTAGCAGACCAACAACAGCGGTGCAACCAACACCCACGAGTATGAACAACAGCAGCAGTACAACCAACACCCACAGTATGGACAACAACAACGAGTACAACCAACACCCGCAGTATGGACAACAACAGTGGTACAATAACACCCACAGTATGAACAACAACAGTAGTACAGCCAACACCCTGCAGTATGGACAGCAACAGCAGTACCAGCCAACACCCACAGTATGAACAACAACTGGCAAATGCAAAGCCAACACACAGTATGGACAACAACAGCAGTACAACTAACACAGCAATTGTAGACAACAACAACGGTACAACCAACACACAGTATGGACAACAACAGCAGTACGCAACCAACACCCACAGTATGGACAACAACAGCGGTACAACCAACACCCACAGTATGAACAACAACAGCGGTAAAACCAACACCCCACGGTATGGACAGCAACAGTAGTACAACCAACACCTGATATGTGAACAACAACAACCTTCCCGCAACCAACACCAACCCAGTATGGACAACAGCAGTACAACCAACACCAGTATGGACAACAACAGCGGTACAACTAACACCCACAGTATGGACAACAACAGTGGTACAACCAACACCCACAGTATGGACAACAACAGCCAGTACAAGCCAACACCCACAGTATGGACAACAACAGCAGTACAACCCAACACCCACAGTGGACAACAACAGTAGTACAACCAACACCCACAGTATGGACAACAACAGCAGTACAATAACACCCACAGTATGGACAACAACAACAGTACAACCAACACCCACGAGTATGGACAACAGCCAGTACAACCAGCACCCACAGTATGGACAACAACAGTGGTACAACCAACACCTGGTATGGACAACAACAGTGAGTACGAAAAGCCAGCACCTAGTATGGACAACAACAGCGAGTGCAACCAGCACTCACGGTATGGACAACAACAACAGTACAACCAGCACCACAGTATGGACAACAACAATGAGTACAACCAACACCCACAGTATGGACAACAACAGCCGGTACAACCAACACCCACTGGTATGGACAACGAAAACGATAGTACAACCAACACCCACAGTATGGACAACAACAGCAGTTTTATTCAACACCCTGGTATGGACAACAACAGCAGTACAACCAACACCCACAGTATGGACCAGCAACAGCAGTACAACCAAAGCACCCACAGTATGGACAACAACAGTAGTACCAACCAACACCCCACCCAGTATGGACAGCAACAGCCAGTACCCAGCCAGCACCACAGTATGGACAACAACAGTAGTGCAAACCAACACCCACAATTATGAACAACAACAGCAGTACAACCAACACCCACAGTATGAACAGCAACAGCAGTACAACCAACACCTGGTATAGACCGTAACAGCAGTACAACCAACACACAGTATGGACCAACAACAGCATTTAATAACACCCGCGAGCTGGACAACAACAGCAGGGTAGCCAACACCCACAATTATGGACAACAACAGTGGTGCAACAACACCCCACGGTATGGACCAACAACAGTAGTACCAACCAACCAACAGTATGGACAACAACAGTGGTACCAACCAACACCCACAGTATGGACAACAACAGCAGTACAAGCCAGCACCAACGGTATGGACAACAACAGCGGTACAACCAACACCCACAGTATGGACAACAACAACAGTACAACCAACACCCACGGTATGAGACAACAACAGTGGTACAGCCAACACCAACAGTATAGACAGCAACAGTAGTACAACCAACTTGCCCACAGTATGGACAACAACAGCGAGTACAACCAGCACCAACGGTATGGACAACAACGCTTTGGTACAAACCAACACCACAGTATGAACAACAACAGCGGTACAACCAACACCCCACAGTATGGACAGCAACAGCAGTACAATCAGCACCCACAGTATCAACAACAACGGCAGTACAGCCAACACCCACGGTATGGACGTAGCAGCAGTACAACACCACAGTATGAACAACAACAGCAGTACAACCAACGCCCACAGTATGGACAACAACAGCAGTACAGCCAGCACCCACAGTATAGACAACAACAGTACAACCAACACCCACAGTATGAACAACGCGCCAGCAGTGCAGCCAACGCACAGTATGGACAACAACAGCGGTAGCCAACGCCCACAGTATGAACAACAACGGCAGTACAACCAGCACCCACAGTATGAACAACAACAGCAGTACAACCAACACCCACAGTATGGACAACAACGGCGAAAATTGCAACCAACACCCACGGTATGAACCCAACAATGATAGTACAACCAACGCACCCACAGTATGAACAACAGCAACAGTACAGCCAACACCCACAGTATGAACAACAACAACGGTACAACCAACACCCACCAGTATGGACAACAACAGCAGTACAACCAACACACAGTATCAGCAACAACAGCAGTACAGCCAGCACCCACCAGTATGAACAACAACAGCGGTACCAACAGCACCACGAACAGACAACAACAGTGATGCAAACCAGCACCCGCAGTATGGACAACAACATTATTACAACCAGCACCCACGGTATGGACAACAACAGCAGTACAGGCCAACACCCGCGAGGTATGAACAACAACAGTGGTACCTTCAACACCACAGTATGGACAACAACAACGATGCAACCAACACCCCACAGTATGAACAACAACAGCGGTACAGCCAACACCACAGTATGGACAACAACAGCGGTACAGCCAACACCCACAGTATGGACAACAACAGCGGTACAACCAATACACAGTATGGACAACAACGGTAATTACAACCAACACCCACAGTATGGACAACAACAACAGTACAACCAACACCTGAGTATGGACAACAACAGCGGTACAACCAACACCCACAGTATGGACAACAACAGCAGTACAGCCAGCACCCACAGCAGTATGGACAACAACAGCGGTACAACCAACACCCACAGTATGGACAACAACAGCGGTACAACCAACACCACCGGATATGGACAGCGCAACAGTACAACCAACACCACAGTATGAACAACAACAACCGGTACAACCAACACCTGGTATGGACGCAGCAACGGTACAATAACACCACAGTATGGACAACAACAGCAGTACAACCAACACCCCACAGTATCAACAACAACAGCGAACAACCAACACCCACGGTATGAACAGCAACAGCAGGTACAACCAACACCCACGGTATGGACAACAACAGTGGTCACAGCCAACACCCACAGTATGGACAACAACAGCAGTACAACCAACACCCACAAGTATGGACAACAACAGCCAGTACAACCAACACCCACAGTATGAACAACAACCAGTGGTACAATAACACCAGTATGGACAACAACAGCAGTACAACCAACGCCCACAGTATGAACAACAACAGCAGTGCAAACCAACACCCACAGTATGGACAAGCAACAGCGGTACAACCAACACCCACGAGTGTATGGACAACAACGGCAGTACAACCAATACCCTGGTATGGACAACAGTGGTACAACCAGCACCACGGTATGGACAACAACAGCAGGTACAACCAACGCACCCACAGTGGCGGACAACAACAGCGGTACAATAGCACCCACAGTATATCGGACAACAACAGCAATTACCAGCCAGCACCACGGTATGGACAGCAAACAGCCGGTACAACCAGCACCCACGGTATGGACAACAACGGCAGTACGACCAACACCCACAGTATGGACAACAACAACAATTGCAACCAACACCCACGGTATGAACAACAACAGCGGAAAGTACAACCAACACCCACAGTATGGACAACAACAGCGGTACAACCAACACCCACAGTATGGACAACAACAAGCGGTATAATAACGCCCACGGTATGGACCAACAACAGCCGACAGCCAACACCCACAGTATGGACAACAACGGTAGTACAACAACACCCACAGTATGAACAACAACGGCGGGTACAACCAGCACCCACAGTGCCGGACAACAACAGCAGTACAACCAACACACAGTATGAAAAGACAACAGCAGCGAGTACAGCCAACACCCACGGTATGGACAACAACAGCGGTACAACCCAGCACACAGTATGAACAACAACAGCGGTACAGCCAACACCCACAGTATGAACAGCAACAGTACAACCAACACCACAGTATGGACAACAACAGCGAACAACCAGCACCCGCAGTATGAACAACAACAGCAGTACAGCCAGCACCCACGGTATGAACAACAGCAACCGTTTTTGACCAGCACCCACAGTATGGACAGCAACGGCGGGTACAGCCAACGCACAGTACGGACAACAACAGTGGTACAGCCAACACCCACAGTGGCAGACAACAGCAGCAGTACCAGCCAGCACACAATTGCTGGAACAACAACAGCAGTGCAGCCAGCACACAGTATGGACAACAACAGCCAGTGCAGCCAACACACAGTATCGGCAGCAGCAACCGTTACCCAGCCAGCACCCACAGTATGAACAACAACAGCGGGTAAAACCAACACCCACGGTATGGACAACAACAGTAGTACAATAACACCACAATTATGGACAACAACAGCAGTACAATAACACCACAGTATGGACAACAACAGCAGTACCAACCAGCACCCACAGTATGAACAACAGCAGTGGTATAGCCAACACCCCACAGTATGGGACAACAACAACGGTACAACCAACACCCACGGTATGAACAGCAACGGCAATTACAACCAACACACCCACAGTATGGACAACAACAGCGGTACAACCAGCACCCGCAATTATGGACAACAACGGCCAGTACCAACCAATACCCGCAGTATATGGACAACAACAGTGGTACAACCAACACCCACAGTATGGACAACAACAACGGTACAACCAACACCCACAGTATGGACAACAACAGCGGTACAACCAACACCCACGGTATGGACAACAACAGCGAAATCACAACTTCAGCACCCACCGGTATGGACGGCATAACAGTACAACCAACACCCTACGGTATGGACAACAACAAGCAGTACAACCAACACCACGGTATGGACAACAACAACAGTACAACCAACACCCACCAGTATGAACAACAACAGCAGTACAGCCAACACCCACGGTATGGATTAACAACAGCAGTACAACCAACACCCGCAGTATGGACAACAACAACAGCCAGTACAGCCAGCACCCACGAGTATCAGCAAACAGCAAGCAGTACAGCCAACACCCACACGAATATGAACAACAACAGCAGTGCAACCAACACCCACAGTATGGATAACAACAGTGAGTACCAACCCAACACACACAGTACGCCAGACAACAACAGCGAGGTACAACCAACACCCACAGTATGGACAACAACAGCGGTACAAGCCAACACCCACAGTATGAACAACAACAGTGGTACAACCAACACACCCGCAGAGTATGGACAAGCAACAACAGTACAAGCAACACCCACGGTATGAACAACAACAGCAGTACAACCAGCACCCACGGTATGGACAACAACAGCGGTACAACCAACTTACCCACAGTATGGACAACAACAGCGAGTACAGCAACCAATGCCACAGTATGACAACAACAGTAGTACAACCAACACCCACAGTGGACAATAACAGCAGTACAACCAACACCCACGGTATGGACAACAACAGCGGTACAACCAACACCCACAGTATGGACAGCAACAGCAGTACAACCAGCACCACAGTAGCGGACAACAACAACCGGTACCAGCCAACACCCACGGTATGGACAAACAACAGCAACAGTACAACCAACACCACAGTATGGACAACAACAACAGTGCAACCAACGCACGAGTATGAACAAAACAGCGGTACAAACCAACACCCACAGTATGGACAACAACAGCCAGTACAACCAACACCCACAGTATGGACCAAGCAGCAGTATAACCAGCACCCGCAGTATGGACGAAAAACGTGGCAATTACGGCTGGCTTTACCCACAGTGTAAAGGCGGCAACAGTGAAACAGCCAACACCCTGATATGAACCCAGCAACAGCTTAGTACAGCCAGCATTACCACAGTATGGACAACAACAGCAGTGCAACCAGCACACACAGTATGGACAACAACAGCAGTACAACCGCACCAGCCCATGGACAACAGCAGTACAACCAACACCCTGATGTATGGACAACAATAATTTTATTAGCACCCACAGTATGGACAGCAACAGCGGTACAACCAGCACCCACAGTATGGACAGCAACAGCAATTACGCCAACACACCCACAGTATGGACAACAACAGCGGTAACCAACACCCCTGATATCAACAACAACGAGCAGTACAACTGGCACCACAGTATGGACAACAACAGCAGGTACAAACCAACACCCACAGTATGGACAACAACAGCAGTACAACCAACACCCACTGATGTGGACAACAACAGCAGTACAACCAGCACCACGGTATGGACAACAACAACGGTACAACCAACACACGAACAGACAACAACAGCGGTACAACCAACACCCACGGTATGGACAACAACAGCAGTACAACCAACACCAGTATGGACAACAACAGCAGTACAACCAGCACCCACAGTATGGACAACCAACAGCGGTACCAGCCAACACCCGCAGTATGGACAACAACAACGGTACAACCAACACCAACGGTATGGACAACAACAGTAATTGCAACCAACACCCACAGTATGTGGACAACAACAGCGGTACCAACCAACACCCACAGTATGGACCAACAACAGCAGTACAGCCAACACCCACAGTATGGACAACAACGAAAGTGGTACAATCAGCACCCAGTATGGACAGCAGCAGTAGTACAACCAGCACCCACAGTATGGACAACAACAGTAGTACAATAACACCCACAGTATGGTTGCTAACAGTAGTACAAGCCAACACCAGCAATTATGACCAACAACAGTAGCCAGCCAACACCCGGTATGGACAACAACAGCAGTACAGCCAACACACCCTGGTATGGACAACAGCAGTACAGCCAGCACCCGCAGTATGGACAACAACAGTGGTACAACCAACACCCCTGATATGGACAACAACAGCAGTACAACCAACACCACAGTATGGACAACAACAGTGATACAACCAACACCCACCGGTATGGACGAAAAGCAACAGCAGTACAACCAACACCCACAGTATGGACAACAACAGTAATACATCAACAACAGCAGGAACAATGTTAATGTAGCTGTGGCTGTATCACCAACAACAACATGTGAGAGATAATAACAAATATCCACAACCTTACGTAGACAGACAATAACGTTATCATTAATGTTTATAAATTCCATCAATAACAATCACCATCAGAAGCAACACACAGCTCGAGCAATCAGTAAACACATTAAATAAAATAAAAAATCTTTCAGAACCTTACACTTTCAGCATTAACAACAACAACACATTAACAGAAGGGGATTATCTCAACAACAACAACAAAAACAATATCTCACATCATCAACAGGCAAAAATAACAACGTGTATTAAAAGTAAGAGCACTACAACAACATCAACAAAACGAAGACCCAACATCATCAACAGACGTAAATAATTACACGCATACAAGCCATCAATTCTACATCAACAAAACACTATAACAACAACAACAGCGTCGACAACACCCATAACACTTAAGAAACCATGGCGGGGGAAGTGGTCGTCTCGGGCTTTACCTGGATGATGTCTGCCGCGGGTTACGTTGGTGGTGCCTGAGGTGACTCGGGAGTCCAATTCTTGATCTGCTGTTCCTTTTGCAGAGGCGGCGGGTGGTGCCCAGGAAGGTCGCCCGGTGGTCTGACTTTTCTCTCTCTCTCTCTCTCTCTCTCTTTCCTTTCCTGTCGCTTTTCGGCTTCATGTACAAAGTGGTTGGTTCTCTTGGCAGCAGGAAGCGGCATGGTAGATGGTGTTTGTCCAAATGGATTAATCTGTCGCCTGCTCCTCCTAGACAGTACCGGCATGTCATCCTTCGTGAGATACGCTTTTAGGGCGTCATTAGAACACCGCCTCGTCTAACAGCGAGTTCTTTAGCCACGCCTGAGCTGGGAAGTAGTGGACTTATTTAGCAAGACGGTTGTTAGTACATCCACACAGAGTGACCAGTCCGTCGCTGCCTTACATCCTGGTGGTCATAACCTCGGCGAGACGCACTTGTGAAGTAGCCCTGGTGCTCCTCTCCACACTCTTCAAAGATGAATCAATCGACCACGAAGAATATTTTATCAAGACCTAAGAGGGATTATCACCACGCTGTAGACCATCACAATAGTCTCCTTCTAAAGGTCTCCATCAGTGAAGACACGGTGAAGCAGTTAGCTGAAAGAGTCGCCGTGCTGGTACATTGAATCCTGGGTTGGATTCCCTCGTCATTGTCGGCCTTCTGGGAGAGGCGGCGGCTGAGCCTCCTGCGCGGTGGAGCGAGTCTCATGTTCATATCTGATCTCACTAAACGGTGGTCTAGCCAACAGTTGTCTACCTCTGTCACTCCCCACCACCACCACTACCATCACCTCCACCTTCGCCACCTCCATCACCACACTCCATCACCACCATCACCACCACTATCACCATCATCACCACCTTCGCCACCTCCATCACCACCATCTCCATCACCACCTTCGCCACGTCCATCACCACCATCTCCATCACCACCATCTCCATCACCACCATCACCACCACTATCACCATCATCACCACCATCATCACCTCCTCCATCACCCACCATCACCACCACCACCACGACAGCCGCAGCGACAACATAACAAGAATAGCATCAACACTCCCCAAGCATGAGGCAGGTGGTGGTAGGCGGCCTCCCCTCCCCTGACGACAACACCTGCCCTCCCAGCCAGCAAATCCCTCGACAGGTAACTCTTGTGTCCTCCTTCTCCTCCTCTCTCTTCTCGTCCTCCCCATCCCTCTCTTTCGCTCTCTGTCCTCCCGTTCTCCCTCCTTACATCTCTCTCTCTCTCTCTCTCCATCGTCTGCTACACCCACACACACACACACACACACAACACACACACACACACACACACACACACACACACACACACACACACACACACCTGGTCAGCTACACCACAACAAGCGGACCCTCACAATAGCTATTGCTGTTCTATAATACGTTAGTCTGGCATAATTAAGCATCGGGTGCCAACCTACAGGAAAAGGCGACTGACACTCTACCGATAAGTTTCCCTTCTTCAGCAGCAAGTTATCGGGACACACACACACACACACACACACACACACACACACACACACACACACACACACACACACACACACAAACAGTATCATACAAACCCACTGCTACAGTATGTATGGACAAAAAAACATACACAATCATATATACAACAACTCATAAATCTATTATCATGTAGAAAACAACACAATCTTGTAATTATATTAAAACAAAAAATACAACATTGCAATTACATAGAAAACAAACATTCAAAGAAACAAAAAAAATT